GGCGGGCCCTCCTACCCGGCAGCAGAGCTCTCCCCAAGGCAGCGAGCGCCTCCCCGCCGGACCCACCGCTCATCCTGCCAGAGCCATGCAGGCTGGGCAGAGCCGGGAAAGTGAGCCGTGGGTGCGCGCCCACTTGCCAAGCAAAAGAACCGGGCCAACCCGAGCTTGGCTTCCTTCCCAAGTCCCTCCAGCCCGAACCCAAAGGGGCCACTGGGAGAGGCCGCCCGAGGCAGTTATAGCGCCCACCCATCCGTGGACAGGGAGGCAAGGCGATGGCTTGCGCCGCATCCTCCTCCGAGCTGAGCCCCGCCGAGTGAGCGCCTCTGCCCGATGCCCATGCCGCTGCAGCGTTTGGAGCTGCCGGCACGTTTGGAGATGCGTGGGGATGGGGACGGGCTGGGCGAGGGGTGGAAAGAAAGGGCGGCTTCGGGCTCTCTCGGCCAGACCCGCCAGCCAGGGAAGCAGCGCTGCTGTCACCTCGCCTTCCTGTTCGCGGACAGGTGGGCGCTATCATTGCCTTGGGCAGCCTCTCCCAGTGGCCCCTTCGGGTTCAGGCTTTGAGGGACTTGGGAAGGAAGCCAAGCTCACGTCGGCCCGGCTCTTTCAGTTGGCAGGCGGGATGAGCGGAGGGTCCGGCGGGGAGGCGCTTGCTGCCTTGGCGAGAGCTCCGCCGCCAGGTAGGAGGGCCCGCCTGTTAGCTGTGCTGGGCACCCCAGGTGAAGCTCTTTGCGCTCTGCCCGGCGCCAGGCAGGGATGGCGGCTGGGCACTTCTCCCAGGGTGGGCCAATCCTGTGCTGCGGCCCCGGGAGATTTGTCTCCCCACGTGGGGTTGGGTTGCCCTCTCGGGCAGGGGAGTCTTTGTCGTACCGGTAGTAGGGCGTCGTTTTTAAACGAATTGGCTTTGCCTTTGAAGGCAAAGGAAAGTCAGCGACAGAAGCACCTGAAGTCGAGTGTCTCTTGTGGGCTCCGGTTGCAGGGAGGAGCCCTGGCTGGCTGCGCGTGGCTGCGCCAAACGCCGTGTTGCTTTAAACGCCGCGGCAGCACGGGGAGAAGGGAAAGCAACGGCGGAAGGTCTCCCGATACGAAGTGCCCCACCAACGCCGAGGTCAATGCAGTCAGCACCATATCCTGGTATGTAACAAAAGTACTTCCTAACGGCCAGCCCCCCCTGCCATTCCCCCCCATTTCGCATGTTTAATATAGGCCTTAATTTGGGGGGAGGGGCTTAATTTGATTTTATGCCTATAAAGCATGCTGGGACTTCCTATTGGAAGAGGCCGTATTGTTGGAGAAACACGGTATATGTACATACACATGCAACATTACATGCTATCCTATCATCTTTTCCAAGCAGCAAGCCCATGTATTATTTTTAAACAAAGAAAAATTCAGTATTGCATGTGTATGTACATATAATTTAACCGCAAACATTCAGATCCAAATGTTACTAGGGCTATCTCAATTTTCCATAGTTACTGCTAGAAGTGACTGGAGGCTGTAATGATTCACCATTCAATGTTTTGAGTCTTCTAATAAATCCTTAACTGCCACTCCAATAACCCTTCAAAATTAGATCCCTCCTTTACCATTAGACATGCTTGTACCCCAAAAAGATGCTTTCACAAAATACCTCCATATTATTTTTATCAGACCTGCTTCATAAGAACTGCTAGGATTGCCCCATGCTTCATACATGGCTTCTTTAACTGTCTCAATCACTTCTGGTGCCAGAGGGGTAGTTGCATTGTAATCCATATAAATTTTCCTATAGGAGATAGAATGAAAAAATGGTTATCAATGGAAAGAGGAACCACATAGATTAATACCATCACCTTCACACTAGGTTGCAGTGTGTATTTTGGAAAACCTTCTTTGAAAAATCTTTCCCACTGCTATCTACTTTTCCAAGCAGTAACACTACTGTATTTCACCTCTAAATGTTACAAAATTGTATTTCTATACTTTCTTGGAAAACTGTCATAAAATTGAGAGGGGTTGCCTCACTCTTTGATACGTTCATTAATTTTGAAAGCATTTTGTATTTAGTTATGACTCATAATCAGACATTTGAAATTGGCTAATAATCTTAGTGATCTGGATATTCCATTCCAGGATAGTGTTCTTGAATGAGATTTGCAACCCATCCTACGCAAATTCAATTTAAAATAAGCCCCACTAAGTTCAACAGATTTTATTGTAAAATAAATCATACATGAAACAGCAAGTTCTTAGTACCGTACTTAAATTAAAAGCAAAGACTATAAGTTGGTAACAAATGTTACATACCTGCTTGATGAGATATTATTTTTTCCATTACAGTTTAATTTCTCATTAGTCTCCGTTCTTTGTTCCACTAGTATCATCTTCAAGGTGGTCTCTTCCATTCTCAGCCAGCCTCCTTGTTAAACTATGACCTGCGCTGAAACAGAAAAATGTATCATGCAACTCTCAAGATCACAATTTGTTTCTCTGCAGTAGCCTGCCAGATGCCCAGTTCAGGTACTTGCAGAAAAAGCTAAAACTCCTTAGAAACTCCTGCAAGTAGGCATATTGGCTTCAAAAGAAACATGTACAAAAGAATCCAATGCAGGTAGACAGAATGACGCACTATCTTATGTGTATGGCAGTAATTGCTTCTAAGTGACAAGTGACTGGCAAGGAATGGAGCAGAGAACATATGGCTGGGACAGCCTGAACCCAGAGGATCCATGGTCAGGAAAAGGAATCAAAGAGATCCCTGAATTTGGTTGCTGTTACCTTTTTACAACTTCGTTGTCAGAAGGGCATTAGGATCGCCACAGTTAATTCTCAAAACACTTGTGTCCTCAGGATCCTTGATTAAATTGACCACTAAGAGGCACCATATGACTGATTTCATCCTTATTGACACTGCTCAGACATGAGTAGCCAGATGTTAATTTAAGAATTTCAAATCTTCTCCCAGGAATTGCACTCATGGACTTTTATACTTTTGGTGACTAAATATAATGCATTAGTTTATCCAGGTCCTGGAGTTTAACAGTTTCAGGAAGGAATATATACAATGTGGATGTATACAATCCACCTTCCCTTATGCTCTCAGAGCAGAAAGGTAATGTCAAATCTTTGGCATCATTACTATTCTCAGCGAGGGCTACAAAGAACTAGTATATGACAAAATAGAGCCAATATTGGGTTAATTGAACCAATAATGGATCTTCTGGCTCTGTATAAAGAGTTGAAAGATTATGAGATGGCCTCTGAGATTGCAACAGTGAACATTAGTTATATCAGCAAGTTATATTAGCACATTGGTTCAAGCAAAAACAGAAAGAAAACTTAGATTTTTAACTAGGTATTCATTTGTATATATGTTGTTCAAAATCACTTTGGATCCAGCAATCTTTTTCTGTCAGTGGTAAAACAAACATTTTATAGACATAAGGCATAAGAGTAAGGCTCCTGTAATATCTCAAGCTCTGCCTCTCTGATTTAGGAGGTAACAGTTATAACAATAAGAAGCCACTCACTGATTGACCCTCAGTTTTCTCTCTTTTAAATATATTTAATTTGATAGCCATTGACAAAGCTTATGAAAGTGAACTCCATTCTTTAACCCCATTAAGACATGGGAAACTCATGACTCTCTAAATATAATTAAAGTATAACTCCCAGCATCCTTCAGCACTGGTCATGCTATTGAAAGCTACAGTTCAACACTAACCTAACATTTTTGTTTTGTAGGAAGGGAATTTGCATTGCCTTACTAAAATCAGCTGACATTGTTAATGCAGCATTAAATAAGACTAAACAATGAAATCTTGTATGATATACAGAGCATTTAATTCTCATATACTTTGTAGTATAGGCAGCAAAGCAACTTTATATACCATATTTCCCAATTTGCGCAACCAAATTTGTCCAATTTTCAACTTTTCCATCTTCACTTCTTTCTAATTGCTATCCTTAAGAGCATCACTGATGTATCAAAAATAGCTTTGGAAATAGTTGCTTCCTAAATCCCACTGAGTGGGATGTAACATGTCTTTCAATAAACAAGCATCAAAATATACCTATTAATGTCTATATCAAAGTTTAGTGCCTGCAGATATGCTGCACTTCAATTTCCTTAATATCCAAAACAAAAGGGAACCTAGTAAAGGGTTGGATCACAGTAGTAAAGACTTTCATCAGTCAAAACTAAATTAGCTGATTAAATATTTGACACAACATTCCAGTTCCAGTGTTCTGTAGTAATTTAGTTTTAGCATCTTTAATTAAAATAATTTTAATGTTTCCTTTTTTATTTCCACCTTCCGTCTGTTTTTAAACTACAAGTCCTCTGGGAGGGGAGGCTTATACTTTTGGATGCCTTGGGTCCATTATTTAATAGCATTATATTTAATATCAATTATTAATATACTAATATAAATAACAATCTTATAATATGAAGTTAAACAAATCTGTGCCAAGGTTAGCTTTTAAATTTTTAGTTAATCTGATAATAGAGAAATTTGCACCAAGCAAAAACGATGGCACAGCATCAAAAGATAAGCAGACTGCTATAAAAAAGGTTAAAAAAAAAAATCGTAGCGCATCACTGTGTATAATATCCTGGAGAGGAAAACGGAGAAACCGTCAATCACAAAACCAAGCTCGCTTCTCACCGGGGTTAAACGTCGAAGACTTCAACTAAGCGAGACAATTGTTACACAAACTTCACGGCGTAGCCCTTGGTTACTGAGGGAAATCGTCTAAAGGCAAACCAGTCCGCGCCCTCTTACTCAGCCATAGCTGATTAGCGGCGATTGAAAAAAATTACCCGACACGCAGCAAGAGAAGTTCTGAGTCTAAGCACTGACATATATGACGTAGGAAGTGACATATGACGTAGGAAGGACGACAGGCACTTACTTAGTCCCGCCCTCGTTGGCAAGGTGACGGTACTCCCAGAAAAGAGCGGATTGGCCAATATTCGAATCTAGTTTTCGATTAACGGCAATTTAAGCAGGTTCACTTTGGAGGACCAATCGAGTTTTTCCCCACTGAAAGCCAATTGGCTAAGAGCCTCCCTGTTTTTGTGGGTCGGCCAGTTCTTTCGTCGATGAGGATGGTGCCATCTAGTTTAAAATAACCTACTCTCCCCCCCCCACGCGAACCCCCTCCTTATTTTAACCGTGATGTCGTTTGTTGACTCGCCTTACTAGATGGTACTCATTTTTGTTTTGCTGTGCTGTTATTCAGTCGGTTCTTTTTCCCGCTAAGAAAAAAAAAAGGGCCTGTCAAAAGAGTTTTCCAAAACTTGGTAGGCCCTTACCCATGTTTCGTCTCCGCTGACTAGTCAAAACGAAACGCAAGCTAGCTGACGATTCCTGGTAGGTTAATGCTGTTTTCTTCAGCCGCTCGTTAAAAGCCCGTTTGGACCATAGAGACGGCGAGATGGAAGGAATCTCCCCGAAAGCAAGCTGTAAATATGCCCTTCTTCAAGATGGCGGAGGTGGGTTCACTTTTCCCTTTTTACTGCCTTGAGGTCTCGCGGGGTTTCAGTAAAAGGATGGTACACGGCGCGTGGGCCTGTAAGTGACGCCTTACCGTTTTTTCTTTTTTCTTTTTTTTTTATATTGCCGTTCTGGTAATCTGAAACGGGAGGGGAGGGATGAGAGGAAAGGCGGATTTGAAGTTCACCGGACTGGGTTCCGCTGTCGCTGGCTTACCGGGGAAGAAGGCTTCAGATGGCCTGCTGTACGCAAGTGGGCAGAGACTTGACGAGGCCGAGAGGGAGGAGGCCGCTCCACCCCCTTATGGGTCCGGTGGCCCTTTGCTTTTTCTACGTAGCATCCTCGTTTGAGAAAAGCCAAATGAAGTGAAGTAGCGACTGGGATCTGCCAAATGGAGAGGGGCTTCTCATTCTCCGTTTGGAAGGACAGCGCTCAGTCACTCACACCCCAGCGAGCAAATAAAGAGCCTATAGGTATTCTGGAGTTTGCTGACAGAAGGGTAGATTGAGGTGGCTGGTGGGGTTTGTTTACCCTGTTTTGGAAAGCTGCTAGGTTAGAGAACAGAATCGGGCGGTATACAATTTGAATGAATAATTATTGTTATTTATGTGTTGCAGCGAAGACACTAATAGTTTTGTGGCGCCCAAATACTAATGCGTTAAATTATCCTACCCATTACAGTTCTTCCACCTCCCGGTTGTCTTATGTTTTCTTTGGCCACCTGCCCTGCAGACGTGCAACTTTTTTTTTTTTTAAATTGCAAGCTGGAAATTATGCAACTATAATCCAGCTGCACAATGTAAAGTTTGTATTTTGAAGGCTGCTGCTTGCATTATTGGATAAAAATCGAGCACTGTACATGGGAGTACCGCTTACTCTCCTCTGTGTTTCCATACCTTTTCTTCATATCTAAGAAAAGTGCATTCTGTTTAGGGCAGCATTTCTTTGCACATATGTTTAAGAGTAATTAAAGTAGACAGCATTAATATTTAAGAATGTATACAGTTCTGGAAATTCAAGTTTAGTTTAAGCTTTGCAGCTAAGTCGGGTTTTTTTCATAGCCTACAGTTTTTGAAAAGATGTAGAAAATTTCCATAAAGAGCATAGTTAAAAGTTGATAGTATAAAGCAGGTTTAATATAGCTGTGATTAATAACTTATGTTCAGCTGCAAATGGCTCCAAAAATACCTTTGAGAGAATATCTTCTTACTTGGGAGTATTGCAATTTCCATCAGTGGAAAATATACATTTATTCATTTAATACATATATTGCCACACTCTAAAAGACTTGTGTGGTGTAACAGAAAAGCAGACTAGTTGAGAAATAATGGCAAAACTATTAATTTTCATAAATTATAATTAGAAATATAATAGGTAATATGGACTGGAAATCTTAAAACTCTTTTCTAAATAGGTCAACTTTTAAGGAATTGCTAAAGGATAAGAATAATGGAACCACTGAGATTTTTGGTGGTATGGCATTCCATATGGGGTTTCCATTCCATTGAGGAATAAGATGTCCTTATTTTTTCCTAGATTTTATATGGAGAAGAAACCTTCAGTGGGTCTGTGTCCTGAATAGGTAGAAACTATTTCAAGATGATCCTGAATTATTTTAATTTATATAGGCATCCAGCTGTCATATGAATTAGGGCATAGTACACAACTGTTAAATTTTACAATATAATAACATACAGCAACAACTTCACTGAATCAAAAATAATTTAAAAATAGTCAAGATGGTAATAAAACCTTCTGGTCAGTTCCTGTGGGAAAAGTGAAGCTTTAAGAGCCTTTAAAAAACAAGGCCAGGGGCAAGACTACACAGCATCTAAATTTCAGCAGACATGAAAGCAGAAAAGACATGCCTCCTAGACACTGCCAGATTACACTGCTTATGTGATAGGTGCATGCCTAGTCTCTCAGATCTTATTGGATGCTAAGATGAAGTTGGGCTTTAATTCATTTTGAATTTTCCTGTTGGTCAGTGTGGATTCCAATATTATGTGTGAAAAGTAGCTCTCACCTGCAGACAAATAGGCATTTTGGTCCAACTGTAGCTTTACAATAATTTTAAAAGGCAGATCCTGTAAAACATAATGCAATGTAATCAGGATATAGCAGTGACATGGCTTTGTTGATTTTATTTGTCTTTTAGGTTGTATCCAAGAGTTGTTGTAATGGTGATATGGACAGGATATAAATTTAATAAAATAAATACACTTTGTTGTATAAACATTGTTTTATAAATCTGTATTGTTTGGGAAAATATTAGTTATCTTTGTCAATAGAGGTAATTGAAAATACAATTGTTTCAGTAAATAAAATAATATACTAATGTTTTATACAGTTTAATGAAACAGTAAGCTTATTTTTTTACCCATCAAAAGCAATGCAATCATGCTGGCAGCAGTCAAATAAAAGAGAGCTGTTTTCTCTCTCTCCCCCCCCCCCTTCCCCCAGCAGAGTGGAGAAAGTTTGGAGAGGAAGAGGTTTCAAGAGTACTGTAAGCTGTGTAACTTGCCTGCAGCTCTCAGTCCTAGGCTGCCAGTGTGATTGCATTGCTTTTGACAGTAAGTGGGCACTTGAGCATTCCAAAGACTGGGGGAATGGTAAGAAGGCAAACAAATGCTAAAGCTGTGAAACTTAGTAGTCTTGTCTCTTCCAGCTGGAAAGCATGGTTTGTGATTTCCCACTTGACTGCTTAATGGCAGAGTTGCCGATCCATATTACGACAGTTAAGCGAGAACTACTCGTACAGCATTTTAAAGTTTTTGAATTAAAATTCTCATTTCATTGTTGGTGTGTTATTTCAGCTAATGTCTCCTTTCTTTTTCAGCTTTCCATATAAAGTGACTTTAAACAGGAATTATGGCAGCTTTGGATAAAATAAAAGCAAAAAAGACTCTGGGAACTGTTGATTATGTAGAATCATCTGAATTTGCACAAGGAATTCTGCCTACAAAGAAGGATGTCATTCAAAACATGTTGTATTTGTTGCATCCAAAAAGGGCTGGTCAAGCACAACGATCCAAAGAAGATGCTGCCCAATTGCTTGCTGAACTTTTGCAGGAACACTGGTTGTTTTGCAATCTATATACCATAGCAACACACAGCATAAAGAAGCATATTCTGAAAGTATATGAAGAATTCTCAAAGTTATACCAATCCAGAAAACGAAGAAAAAATGAACTGTTTATTCAGAAAGCAGATGACTTCAATAGGAGTTCAGAACAGCTTTTTGATATATTTTGTACAGACACTGTTACACGAGAGAAATTGGAGCAGTGCAGTGGTGTTAAGATGACAGATACTGAATGGAAATTCCTTGAAGATCAGAGGAATGAGAGAAAAATGTACTTTGAGAACTTTGTGGACAAAAAACAAATGGAAACAATAGAAAGACGGAGAAAGGTTGAGTCATTAGAGCATTTTAGGAAAATTGCAGAGGAAGAGAAAGAAGCTCGTAAGCGGAAAGAAATGACTTCAAACAGGGATGAACAGCCAGTTGAAGATGTTAATAAGAATAAAGATGACTCCTGTCTTGAATACAACAAGGGAATTGCAGGGTTTTCAGATAAAGCAAAAAGAAAGCGTCTGTCACCTTGTTGGGTAACTGGGACAGCAACTTCAACCACTTACAATGAATCAGTTCCTTCTGAAAATCAGCATCTACGTATGAATATCAGAAAAGTCAGACCAGGATTCTATGAGACTTTTGACAAATAGAAGAACTGCTAGTTTGATATCTGAACGCTCTAGTGGAATTAACTTAGATCTTAAAGTACCAAGATTATTTGGGAGTCGGTGTAGATAATTATGTTGGGCTCCATTATTTTGCAACAGCAGCACCAAAAGGATTGGTTAAAATAGTCCATGGAAAAAGTTAAGATGATAGTCATTTAGTTTTATAGCAATATTCACAAAGAGAAAATATTAGTTATGAAAAAAAATATAACATTTGCAAAAGAAATCTGAAGTTCCAGTGCTTATAAGCTTAGAAAAGTAGACATGAACAGGTTACATTCCATGAGAATAATGTATGCATTTCAATAAACAGCTTAGGAAGATAATGCTTTATCCGTTATGTACAGCATTTGAATCAGACCAGGCATACTAAAAACCTTTTGCTAAAAACATAATATGGAGGTCTGAGGAAGAAAAAAATGAAGAGTAAATTAATTAAATAATGTGTTGTATTCCAGTTTTACATCGCTGGGGATTGGAAGACCATATCCAATTTATTAACCTAAGAAGCTATACATGGCTATTGAAAGGGACAAAATTCATAGTCTTTGTGTAACATTGGAATATTGAAGATCACAATAAACTGCAAACTCAAACCATGACAACTAAACCATGTCCCTTAAGGAAAAATAATAATTGGTCCCAGTGATTCAGAATGTGCTGTTATTTTCTAGGGGAAAAAGAAAACAAAAACCTGCCTGGCTCTAAGAGATGTAGTATATATAACTTGCAGTTGATACACTGAGATTCAAATGGTTTTAGGTATTTGCACAAAAAGTAATGGGTTGCTTATTTGACCTAGTAGATGCTAAGAGACCCTGTACTTTGGCAAACCAGTTCTTGTAGATAATTTGATAGCTTATTGGAAGAAAACAGGAATTTTAAACAATGGCGTTTGATATCAGTGTGCTGGTGACAGCTATCGTTTTTCTAAATTTTTGGCAATTAAATATCGGTGGTAATTATGTAAAAAAATCTGTAGTTAAAAGTAACAGGAAGATGTGTAAAACACAATATGATATGGTAACACAATAAGGTAAACCTGCCGAAAGGTTAAAGAAAAAAAGTCTCATAGACTGATAATTTTGAATGTGTAAACTGTCATGTTTGCAACAACAGAAATATCTAGTTACTTAGTCATACCAACTGACTTTGTATATAAGTTGTTGATTCTTTAAAAATTTAAAACTTAAAATATTCAAATCTTTTCCTTATAATTCTAGAGTAGTCCCATGGCGAGATAGGCAACAAGTGAATTCAATAATATTTTAAGAATAATTCTGCATAAATTAGGTAGGTACATTACAAGAGCTATGGTGGCACAGTGGTTAGAATGCAATGTTGCAAGCTAACTCTGCCATCAGCCAGGAGTTCAAACCTGACCAGTTCAAGGTTGACTCAGCCTTCCATCCTTCCGAGGTCGGTAAAATGAGGACCCAGATTGTTGTGGGCAATATGCTGATATTTGTAAACTGCTCAGAGAGTTCTGTACTAGCACTATGGAGGTGATGCAAAGTCTTAAGTGCTATTATTATTACATATTTTTGTTTCATTTCACATCTAAAAGCTTTTTTCTGTATTTTTAGCATTATATTTTCCATGTATTCCCCTATAACAACTAACTACTAAAATAAACAGTACACACAGTACAAGTGAATATATGATTAAGTAAATCCAAACTGGTTTTAATTATGCAATTGTTTTGAAAGGAAAATAATCAATTTGAATGCTAAAATATCAACAACAAAAATAAGAAAAGTAGTGTTGGAATTAAGCATATTGGTTAACTGTGTACCTCTGGAAAGCCTCCAAATAAGGTGCTTTATGATGACAATAACTCCTATTACAAATTGTTCTTTAGATACTGGAATTCAGAGGTATAATCATATCCTGGAAAATGGCAATGGGAAACCACCTGCCTAGAAAATTATATAGTCCTCAGGAATGAAGCTTTACTCTAAATTCTGGTATTTAGAGCCATGTCACTTTTAATTATTCGTATTCTGATACTCCTGAGAATGTTTTGAATCCTTTAAAATTATCTAAAAAGTGATTCGTTTTATAAAAATGAATTTATATGATTAAATTAAGTGTTGTATAATGTGAAATGGCTTCTTGAATTTCCCGCCATTCACCTTCACCTGATGATCTCAGATTCTGGTATTATGAAGAAAACAAAATTAGACTTAGTTGAGAAGCTTAGTACAATAAATGGGGGAAATGAGTCATGGGCCTTATTTTTTCTTTGAAAGTCCTAAAGATTAAGGAATATACAAAATAAATCACTTGAGATGTTTTTATATGGGATGTAGTATAAAAATTGTAGAATAATAGAAACTCAGAGAATGAAATTTTGAGAATGGGAAATGTATGCCTCCTAGGTTAATTCCTTTATATCTACCTTTTACAACTAAAGGAAGATGATCAAGTATGTTAACTTTGTATTAAGCTTACTTGAACAGTACTGTGATCAGCTACAGAATAATCAATTGCATGACCAAGACAGTTTTCATACAAATGTTAAGAAGGCTCTCAATTAACAGTTTTAATTGTTTTATAAACTGAGTTAAGATTTTTTTCTGGCCAAGAATAAAATTGCTTAAAAGCAGCATTCTGATTGTTTGCAGTGCTTTTCATCAATATGTTAAAGCTTTGTGGCCTTTATGAATATTAACAGGATCAGCATCTCCCTAATCTAACTTTAATTGGAAGATCTGTTCCATTTGTCAATTTTTTGAGGTTGAGATTGGAGATTGAATACAATTTTCTCGAAACCTTTGCAGTTTTTCCTTTTGTTGTTTTGATTTCTAACTTGCAAATCTGTTTCTAATTATTCTGTCATGTGAATAAACATCTCTGCTGCTGTTTCTTGTTTTAAGTCTGATAGAAAGTATTCACCGTGCATCCTGGAAGAATGGAATAAATGCTTATGATACAACAGTCTCTATAATCTACTTTTGTACTACATAATAATTATATCTAAAGCTTATTGAAACAGTGATTGGATGGAACCAATCCTACTTTTGAGGGGACCCTAACCATAACTTAGAAGGCCTACCTCTTAATCCTACTTCTTTGTCATTATATGAAAATTGAATCAGAAGTTTGATGCTTGGCCTGAATGAATAGAATCTTTCTTCACAAGGCAGGTTCTAATATATCACACATGGTCATATCAGTCAAGTTAAAATTCCATGCAAATTTCCGGTCAGAATTTGCAAACCAATTGTGATTGCAAATATGAATAATCTTTGATACCAAATTCACATCATTGATTAGCAGCCGAATCATTCCTGCATATAGTCAAAATCTGTAGCTGACAAAATATGTCCAGCTTTTGGGAATAGGAACTGTCCAAAGTATGCTTGTACTTGTCCATATTTTTCTAAATATACACAATTCACAGACTATCAGGATTATGGGAATTTAATTCAATGCATGTAAGAAATGTTGGTCCCTGTTCATGTGTAGCATCAAGTCAAGACTAGCTTATAAATAGTGAATGGAATTGCACCAATCAGATGAGCAACATAGTTAGGCACCATGAATGAATTCAATCCTTAACTAGCAACAGCCCTCAAATGCTTTCAGGTAAGTCCCAGTGCCAATTTCAGCTGAATTTCTAATTTCACTTGAAATTGTAAAATAGTACGTACTTCTGTTTCTTACAGTTCCCACTTCATTAATGAATTTGGGTGAGGTGCAATGCCACAATAAACATAATCATGTAGGTATGCACAGTTCTAAAAACGGAGGTGTGGATCAACTAGTAACCAACAACAACTGCCTAGATCTCATCTTTTGCAACAGTTTGAATTTAATTTACGGAATACAAATAAAAGAATCCTTTTCCAACAGTCACCACAGCATGATTGACTTTTGTCTCAACATATGTCCTCAAAAATAACGACGGGATCCCCAATTATAACTTCAAAAAGGCAACTATGATCTTATAGACAATGATCTCATCTCTTGATTGGCAAATTCTATTCACTGGATGCAATACTGTTGAAGACCATTACAACATATTTTTACTTGAGGTCAAAAGAGTCATCAAACTATGTACCAATAACAACTTCCAAAACCAGGAAAAAAAATTACCCATAACAATAAGGAAGCTCCAATCCAAAAAGACATCCCTTTGATGGAAAAACAAATCTGGTCATGTTCCCAACTTTAAAAGCTGATACAAAAATTTATGCCACCAGATAAAGACTGAATGCACCACTTATCACATTAAACAAGAGGAAAACCTACGCACAAATTCCACCTGCGCTTTCTACAATTTTGTAAACAAAAGACTCGAGGTCCATCCCACCCCTGAAAGGACCTAACAGTAAAGACTGTAATGATGACACCATTAAAGCCAATCTTTAACACCATTCTTTGGCTCAGTCTTTGTAAACTGCAATGGATCATGCCCAATATTTCCTAGTCAAATCACAGACAACTACAATGATCTAATACATATCAATTTTATAGAAGATAATGTTGAAAAAACACTACGCCATCTCTAAAACCATCTCTATCTTTTGGACCGGACTGAATATGTGCCTACTCCTTCAAAAAGCTATCCACTGCCATAGCAGAACCTCTAAGCATAATCTTTGAAAAATCTTTCAGGACCAGCTCCTTGCCATATCTATGGTCACTAGCCACGGTCATCCCCATCTTCAAAAAGGGAGACCCCAGCCTAGTTGAAAATTACCAATCTCTTTATGTTGCGTCACCTGTAAAGTCATGGAATCAATTATTAATCAATCCATTATCTTCCACTTAGAGACAAACAACCTGAGTAGGTTAGAGAGTTCTAACAAACAGTTTGGTTTCAGAAAAAAACTCCTGTAATCTGCAACTCCTACAATGCAAAAACATGGACTACACAACTTGATCAGGGCAAAGCAATTGACGCTATTTACATAGACTTCTGTAAAACTTTTGATTCAATGGTACACTGAAACTAAAATCTTATGGTATCTCCGGACACCTGCATAACTGGATAGATGCATTCCTGTCAAAAAGGCAACAAATAGTCAAAATAGGGAACATCCTATCAAATCCTGTACCTATCAACAGTGATGTACCCCAAGGCAGAATTCTAGGACCAACTCTTTTTATACTCTACATAAATGACCTCTGTGATTATATTAAGAGCAACTGTGTTCTTTTCGCTGATGATGTAAAGCAATTCAACACCACTGACAATACTGCTACCCTTCAAAATGACCTCGACTATGTGTCAGAATGTTCAAACAAATGGCAATTTCAAATCTCAACAAACAAATGCTCTGTCTTACATATTGGCAAAAAAAAATAATATCAGAAAATAAAATACAAGCTGAATAGTCAAGACCTTGTTGATGACCTCAACTGTATCAAGGACCTTGGAGTACTCATCTCTAATGATCTAAGTGCTAAGGCCCACTGTAACTACATAACCAAAAAGGCATTAAGAGTTGTTAACCTAATCCTGCATAGCTTTTTCTCCAGTAATATCACTCTACTAACTAGAGCATACAAAACATTTGCTAGAACAATACTTGAATACAGCTCATCAGTCTGGAACCCGCATTACATATCAGATATTAATACAGTCAAGAAAGTCCAGAAATATTTCACAAGAAGAGTTCTCCACTCGTCGTAGCACAATACCTTATGCCACCAGACTTGAAAGTTTTAGACCTAGACAACCTAGAACTACGCTGCGTTCCATCTGATCTAAGGGTAGTACATAAAATTATCTACTGCAATGTCCTACCTGTCAATGAATACTTCAGCTTCAACCACAATACAAGAGCACACAATAGATACAAACTCAAGGTAAACTGCACCAAACTTGATTGCTGGAAATACGACTTCAGCAACAGTGGTCAATGTCTGGAATACTCTACCTGACTTTGTGGTTTCTTCCCCAAACCCCAAAACTTTAACCTTAGACTGTCTACTATTGACCTCACCCCTTTCCTAAGAGGTCTATAGGGGCGTGCATAAGCGCACCAACGTGTCTACAGACCCTGTCCTATTGTTTCTTTTTTATTTGTATACATTTCATATATTCATAACCATGTTTATACTTGTTATCTAATACTTGCTTGACAAGTAAATAAATAAATAAATCATTACCTAGGTCAATATGTATCCATTTTTTCTTGCTTTCTGGATTTAGAGATGTAGAAATATGAATACATTTTCAATAGCAGGGATACAGCAGCAACTAGCCATGCTCTGTTTCATTCCAAGTGTGTTTAAAATACTTGCAATACCTGTATTCTAGTGACAGAGGAAAATAATATAGTTTAGGGAAAATATATATAATAGCCATGTTATTAGTTGAGCTATCTGAACCAAAAGGGGAAGAACTACTATGACTACTACAAAAAGGAGCGAGAAAAAAGTTAAGCTAATATATTTACAGAAAGGTAATGAATAGAGAATTAGATGACAAAGCATTACTGGAGAATAGATTAAAATGAATTCACTGTTAAAAATAATTATCCAAGTGTTTCTAAAGTAGAATGGACATTTGTGGATCTAAGAACACATTAGCAATACTTATGATCATTTGAGTTATATACTTTTATTTCTTTGGTGATCATTATTGTGGGCTTTTCCTAGCTTCATTTTAGTGAAGATATAATGATTAAATACCATGGAAAGTCCACAAATTTTGTCAAGAATAATTTAAAGTGTTTTGAAACCAATTACCTACTTGAGAGTAACTGTATATTTATTTTTCATGAAAAGCAGTTTCTGATCCAATTCTCACAGAATTAGCATATAAAAGAACACTACTCACAGCTTTTAGCTGTCACCTGATTTTCATGAATTGAAGCAATAGACTAGTATTAGGTTTTCTAAAACTAAAATACAAATCCTATATTTGTATTTTAAATAAATTATGGCAATAACTTGTCAAACAACATGAATATAGGTGCTCAATATTATTATATTCCTGATTATAGCCATATCTTTGCAACATAAAAAAATAATAATTGGCAAGTCTCTCATGCAAGTTATGGAACCTTATCAGAACTGTAAGGGACCAGGGGTGGGGTGGGGTGGGGACCCAGCACTTCCCCATACACAGTATAACCTTCTCATTTTCCAGTCAAGAAAGGTAATACACAGTGTGTGCAGATGGCACAGGGTGGAGTGAAACACTGTGAAAGAAACACGATATTTCAAATAATAAAGCGGTCTAAATAGGCTTTACTGGAGAGAGGTTTTATTTCCCAGATTCATCAGAGTGTTATTACCGAGTTTCTGTTTGTATCTTCAATCAAATTTTATTGATCTTGTTCCACACACCACCACCTCCCTCCTCATCTATCCTTATTTCAAGATGGAGCAATATAAAGAGCAGAAGGAACTACAGAAAGCAGATATTGTGTTGATTACCATTTAGGAGGTGAGACCAACAAGGTGGTATCTCTTGATTATCAAGGCAGCCTGGCTAAGCATGTCAAAGCTGAATACTTAGAAATATTGAAAGAAATGAAAAATAACAACCAAGGAGTCATTGGAAAAGACAAATTATAGGCAGGAGCACCATCTTTTTGCAAACTGTTTTTGCACGTCTAATGTTCCAAAGCCAGCAAGGTTCATAAAATAATTGATGATCCTTCAGAATATTTTACCTCAAAACTGGGGTTTTAATTATCTTCTGGCACTTTTAATCAGGTTTGTTTCATGCAAAGTTGATCCAAAAATAAACTTGGAAGATTAGTTTACTCCTTCTGTACATATGTTTCTGTTCCAGGATGTTCAATTCCAATAGAGCATTAGGAGAAGGAGATTTGAGAAAGTTACTGAAGATTTATCGCACAGAGATTTCAATGGCAGTGGATGATGTCTTCCCATTACTTCATGGGCTTGCTGATCATGAAATTGTCACTGAAGAGATGTTCAAGGTGAGAGGGGAAAAAAATCTGAGTACATATAGCTCTTCAGTACAATACTGGAATATATCTGTTTCTTTTAAGCCATTCATTTAATGTGTTACAATAATTTGCATATTTGCTGTTTTATTTTATACAATATTATGCATAACTCATATTCAGTTACAGTTTTGCTGATCTCTCTCTCTCACTTTTTAACTTTGGAGTTTTTATTTTTCATTACTGCATTTTCTCTTTCATTCTGTGCAAATTATTGAAATGTGATGGTTTTTCAGACAGCTTTGTATAAACTTTTATTTGGGCAGGTACGATGAAAAATCAAGAGAGTCTGAAACTGTATATCCTGGGTATTAACTTTTAGAATTGAAGTATGAATGAAAGTGTTGTCTCCCAATTTATACACCAAAGTTTAATGTTGAGGCTATTACCATCCCTAATTAGCTACTACTCAAGAAGATGGACTACAACAAATAATATATACTGCATGTTAAGCATTTTAAAGGAATAAAATATATTTGAGAATTAGGTCAATTTTGTATTTTCTCTCTCTTTGTCTTGAAGGACACTCTCCACCTGAAGGAAACTGAAGGCTGCCACCGGGCTTTTTATACCATGTTGACATGGTTGCTAAATCAGGATTTATCTTCCATAGAAGATTTCTGGAGAGTCCTTTTCAAAGAATACAACTTGGAGAGGTATTCCAAGCTTCAGTCCATTTGGAGCAGCTTTCCTAAAGGTATAAGATGTTGTCATCATGGCCTTAAAATGAAATTTACAGGAGACAGAAGTTGTGAATAATAGGTAGTACAGAAATTGAGAATTATGGAAGTAATCCAAGTTGTATCTAATTGGCTGGATGTGGTTCATAGTAAAATTAGTGTACTTGGGACATGTCTAGCATATCAAAGTGATTTTAGTATAAGCTAAAATTCAAGTTTAATTTAAAGCCAACCACTTGATACAATGATGAAAATGTGAGTTAATAATGCCAGCACATTTAGAAGATCTATCTTGTGGCATATATCTGTCTTTGCTAAGGAAGAAGTTACCTTCTATGTAGTTGGAGATAAATTCCCACAATTGTAGGCAAGAATCTCAACCAGTCTCAGTATTTCCCTTGTTTTCAGATATGGATTTCAGCAAGCATCGCAGAACAAAGAAAGTTGCCATTAGTCCAAAGATTGTGACTCAGCACAAATCCCAAGGAAAGAGAAAGATAGAAGAAAAAGACCCTTTGCAATTGACTCAGCCTTCAGGGAAAATTGATCTGCACCTTGGTATAGAATTATTTACTATGTTTTTACTGTATCTGTGGGATATTGCAGTTTAACTAAAATATGAAAAGAATAAATTTAAAGAAAAAAGGAAATCCCTCTCCAAAACTTAAGCATCTCAGAAGAGGAATGACATCATACTGCATTTTTCTCTTTTTATAAAATTAAAGATAACATGCCGTTGGAGTTAAACATTCCTTTACAGTATATTGTCTCTACTAATGGTTCTCAAGCTTCTGAGAAAAGTATAGTTCTTAATTTTATTCTAATAAATAACATATAATAAGATTTATTGTTACAGGTAGTCCTCAACTTACAACTATTTGTTTAGTGACCAAAATTGCAATGGCACTGGAAAAAGTGGCTTACAACTGTTTTCACACTAAAGATTGTTGCAGCATCCTCACAGTCATGTGATCAAAATTCAGGCACTTGGCAACTGGCATGTATTTCTGACAGCTGCACTGTGCGAGGGTATTGTGATCACCATTTGTGACTTTCCCAGCAGGCTTCCAACAGGCAAAGTCAATGGAGGAAGCCATATTTGCTTAATGACTGCATGGTTCATTTGACAACTGCAGTAATTCACTTAACAGCAGTGGAGAAAAGGGTTATAAAATGGAGCAAAACTCACTTAACAACCTCTTTGCTTAGCAATAGAAATTTTGAGCTCAATTGTGGTTGTAAGTTTAGAACTACCGTGTTTTTCAGAAAATAAGACTGGGCCTTATTTTCTTTTGACCCCCCAAAAACAGCTAGGCCATCTTTTCGGGGGTGATTTAATTTCCCCCACCACCATGCACCTTCTCCTAGAGTGCCCCGCGGGCAGCCACGCCTCGCCACCAGCCGCTCCTACCGGCTGAGCACGGAGAGCTCCTTACCTCCGCCAAACGCCTTTGCTGCAGACCTGAGTATGGTGCTGGCTGCAGGCTGGGTCAGTGGGCGGGCAGCGGCGGCGGCGTGGATGTCGGCCTCAGCAGCGGCAGAGCATTTTGCACCACTGCCGCTTCCTCCACCGCTGTCGCTTTCCCTTCTGCCCTTGCTGCGGCTTATGCTGCGTTCAGAGTGCTGCCATTGGGCAACATGCAGAGGCCGGAGTCCCTGCTGGACATTGTGGCATAGTGGTAGTGGAGAAGTGGCCCTTCCAGCGGGTGGAGGAACGGTTTGAGCGCATTCCTCCACCAGCAGTGTTTCAGCAGCTTCTTAGGTGAGAAGCCTCCTCCCTAGCTTCCATGGTTCCTGCCGGCAGTGGCTCCTCTCTCGCCAGTGCCATCTCCAACAACAGCAGCAGCAGCGGTGGGACAGACCTCACTGCCAACGAGAACCTCCTGCCCTCCCGCAGGGGCATCGCTTTGCTTGACGGCGACTGGGAAGCTTGGCAGGGAAAGAAGGAGGGAGGGAGGGAGAGAGGGAAGAGTGTCTTCCACCACTGCCCACTCGCTGAATTGGCCTACAGCCAGCACCATACCCGGGTCTGCAGCAATGGCGCTTGGGGGTAGGGAGCTCTCCCCTCTCTGCCATGATCGGCCATTAGGAGCAGCTGGTGGCGAGGCGTGGCTGCCTGTGGGGCGCTCCTAATGGCAAGTTTCCTCCCCACCCTTCCCCCCATTTTGCATGTTTTAAATGAGCCTTAATTTTGGGGGAGGGGCTTAATTTCACCTCATACCTAGAAAACATGCTGGGCCTTCCTATTGGAGGGGCCTACTGTTGGAGAAACATAGTACCGATATTGTGCATTTTGCAAAAAAAAAAAAAAAGACAATTTCTGCTTTCAGTATTGCAAACTGTCTTATAAATCAACAGGGTCCCATCCTAAAACAAAAGCTGTGAAGAAATCAGAAAATGCTGAGGTACAACATTACCCTCTTCCAAGTGGTAAGTTTATCACTTTGCTATTTTTGTTGAATAGAATAGAATTCTTTATTGGCCAAGAGTGATTGGACACACAAGGAATTTGTCTTTGTGCATAAGCTCTCAGAATACATAAAAGAAAAGATACATTCATCAAGAGTGAAGAATCATAAGGTACAACACTTAATAATAGTCATAGGGTACAATAAGCAATGAAATCATACTAGAAAACAGTTCATATAAATTATTAGGATACAAGCGACAAAGTTACAGTCATACAGTCACAAGTGAGAGGGGATGGGTGATAAGGAGTGTTGACAAGATTAATAGTAATAGTAATGCAGACTTTGTAAATAGTTGGACAGTGTTGAGGGAATTATTTGTTTGGCAGAGTGATGGTGTTCGGGAAAAAACTGCTTGTGTTTAGTTATTCTGGTGTGCAGTGCTCTATAACAGGGGCCACCAACCTTTTGGACCTTAGACCACCAAACTCATAATTTTAAATCCCACGGACCACTAATATGAATTTTGACATATGGTGGCTTGCTGAAATTGGTGGGAAAGTCAGTCCCATATTCCAGAGCTGCAGTAGTCACAGGACTGGCCTTTTGGTCATCCCAGAGCAGCTCCTCCAGTCCATGGCAGGCCAGTGCACCTGGGTAGAGGAGCAACTGCTCCGGGATGACCAAAAGGCCAGTCCTGTGACTACTGCAGCTCTGGAATATGGGACTGACTTTCCCACCAAAGTCAGCAAGACATCCCATGATGGATTTCCCTCCCCGCTAAGTCAGCAAGATACCCCATGATGGATTTCCCTCCCCGCTATTGGTCTTACCTTCCAGTTCCAGCTCACGTGGCTCTACTCAAGGTAAGGTCTGTGCTCGGCCGAAGGGTGGGGGCCAGCAGGTGGGTGGGCCATGTGGGCGGTGCAGCCTTATGTTCTCGTGCAGCCTGGATTAATTGCTTTGGGGGGAGTGCTTTTGGGGGACATTTCTCTGTGGACCACCAAAATTTTCTCGCAGATCATCAGTGGTCCCCAGCCCAGCAGTTGACGACCACTGCTCTACAAGGTCATTTTGAAGGTAGGAGTTGAAACCGTTTATGTCCAGGATGTGAGGGGTCTATAAATATTTTCACAGCCCTCTTGAATATGCTAATCCATACTGTTCGGCTACTTCTGTGAAATGATCTATCAATCAAAATAAAATTTAAAACCATGAACAATCTTGTTTCATTATCAGATCATTAGATTTTGAAATGTCTCCCTGGGATCTCAGAAAGAAACAAAGAATTTCACAATAATTTGACATCCTTGTTTGGAGACTTGTCAATGTTACATACTGAAATGTCACACAACTTGGTTAAGTTTTAGATTTAATTTTGAAGTCGTTGGTTGCTAGTCTTTGACTATCCAACATTATCTTTATACAATGCCTTAACGTACTGCTCACTCAGATATGATCCCAAGTCATTCTTCTTATTTAGAATTCTGAATGGCTAAAGTATTGTTCAGCATACAAAATATTTCTTTAGCCAGGCAGCCTATATATTACATTAGGTGAGAAAAAATGTCATTAAAGGCTATTCAGTAACTTTTGCTGAATCAGTTTCTCATTTTAACAGTTGTTCTAAGCTGCTTTTTGATGATTTCATTTAAGTCTATTCTTTGCATGTAAGAAAATTGATTAATTATGAGATTCAAATAAGAAAAATTAGATCAGTTCAGTATTATCTCTCCACAATTATCCTACTCAATCTAAAGAACCTTCTAATTGCTAAATATTCTCTTCAAAGAGCCAGTATAATGTAATGGCTATGGCATCATAGAACCTGGGAGATTATTTCTAGTTCCATCTAAGGCACAAAAACCAACTGGGTGACCTTCGCTTTGCCCTCAGAAGAAGGCAATGGCAAACCACTTCTGAAAAATCTTGCCAAGAAAATTGAAGGGACTATTTCAGACAGTGTCCAAGAATCAAACATGATTGATAGAAGAAACTGATAAGGAGAATATTTCAATGTTGAAATTAAAGATCCTTGGTGCTCCCTGAGCTTGGTTGTTTTCTTGCAGATGTTTCATTACCCAAACTAGGTGACATCATCAGTGCTAATATGGAGTGAGGTTTGCTCTCAATTTATATTCTAGTGGTTTGCCCTGTTGGTGTTGGTGAGAGTGGTCTTGGAAGTTCTTTGCTTGGGCTGTTTGACAGTTTCTTGATTGAGGTATAGTCACTTAATTGTTGGTCCAATGTTAATCTTGGTGTTAATCTATGCACATCAGGGTGTTGATTGCTGGTATTGAAGTGTTTTGGTCTATATCAGTGATGGTGAACCTTTTTGTTGTGGTGTGCTGAAAGTGCGTACTTGCTGGCACCCACAATGCAATGCACCCCCCTGCACATGGTCGTGCAATATCGCCACCCCCCCTTACCTGCACTGCACATGCACACGCCTCCCAGCTGATTTGAGGCCCCTTTTCGGCCTCCCAGAAGCTCGAGGGAAGCCTCTGCAGCCTTTGGAGGCTGAAAAACGGGCCCATTTCATCACTTCCAGTTTCGTCATTTCTGGTATTTCCAGAAGGCCCATTTTTCGGCCTCCACAAGGGTGCAGAGATTTCCCTCGAGCATCTGGAAGGCCGAAAAATACCTCAAATGGGCCGAAAATCAGCTGGGAGGCACGTGCATGCGCAGTGCAGGTAAGTTTGGCTGGGACTCGCGTGCCCGCACAAATGGCTCTGCATGCCACCTATGGCACATCATGGGTCTATATGTTCCCTTTTTGGCTTGTTGATTGTTTCTTTTGAATATATTAACAGAAAAGAAATCTTCAAACAGAAATAATAGACAATTTCAATGTCAAGATGAAGAATTTCCAAAGGAACGTTAACTTGATCATTTGTTATAATAGCATTTTAAAAGAGTATTTAAGTAGATCTCAATTTTGCATATGGGGATCTGAGGTATAAAGGTGGGAATCTACTGAACAGTCGAGAATCTATCACAGCTGTTTCAAAGTGCTACATTCTACTTTAGTACCACTTAAACATTGGCACAATGATATTCTCCATATTGTGTTAAGCTTCTTTCTTGCTTTGTTGTAAAATCTATACCAAACTTACTTCATTTTGCACTGCTGGGCGTATGCAGAAAAGATAACTATATGTTACATTATATTGTTTGAAAAGGTTAATTTGGTTTAATACTGTATTTCAATTACAGCTAAGGTTAAATTGTCTCCTAGGAAAGGCACAGTTCCAAAGATGTCAAATATGTCTTTTTCCAGGCAATGCTAAGAAATTTGTTAAAGTTGGGGATGAATATTATACATCAAGCACATCGGAAGAACTTGGAGAAAATAAAGCTTATGAAAAGAAGCCAAGCATGAATAACAAAGAACCCCAGGTTTCTGAATATGTATAATTATATACTATTATAAATTCTTATTCTCTTTGGATCTTTAGTAGTAAAAAGGAATCTATGCTGGGCTGACTTCTCTGTTTAAAGTCAGTCTCACTGTGGCAAGGTTATGGTGACCACGTAGAGATAAATAGGAAATCCAAGAGCCTCTATTAGTCTTATTTATATAGCACCAATAGCAATGTACTTTTCAAGAAGTGTTGCATGCCAATCTATATTGCCAATCTATATTAAAATGCAAAAATAGCAACTGAACATGACTGTTCAATATGAATAGGTGAACATCAGCAAGAAAAACATTTGCATGCTAGTTCCACATACAAAAGACAGATACTGTGCTAGATACTGCATTGTTTACCTTGCATATTAGTGGGAACATTTGTGTGGAATTTGAATGCATTATTTTAAAGGAAAGGAACAATTAATGGCTCCTGTATGTGTGCAGCCTACGTACTCATTCCTTGCTGCCTCGTTGAATCTTACCAATCGCTATTACTCAATTACACAATTATAATAGCATAATTTCTCAATATTTAAGTCAGTGATCACATGAAACTACAATGTAAGCCCTATGGTTGACATTTAAAAAAACATAAAGTCACTAACATTCCCTAAAACTGAAGTGGAAAACAATCTCATACAATTTCTATAATTGTTCCATCTAATATGGCAATACATCATGTTCTTGCTGAGGTAAATAAGAGAGGTGAGATTGTAGAAAGAACCTATAGACATATTTTTGTTGGAAAACTGCTGTTTAGACTAATCCTTTACTGTATAGTAAAGTAACAACCATTCAAAGTTACAGTGGAAACCCCATTATGACTTATTACCCAATTCTGAAGTTTTGACAATTGTACAACCTCCTGCGGTCGCATATTTCAGAGGTTTGGTAACCAGCTCAACTTTAGAGCTGGTTGCAGCAATCCATGGTCACATGACTGTGATTAATGGGTTTTTGTTTTGTTTTTTACAGATTTCTGTTTTTTTTTTACTGGTTTCTGGAAAAAAATATCCATTAGAATACATTGATTCACTTAATGATCATGGCATTTGCTTAACAACTGCTGCAAAAAAAAAAAAAAGTCATAAAATTGGATCCGGTTATGTGAATGTCTTGGACTTGATGACTTACAATAGAAATTCTGGGCTCCATTATGGTCGTAAATCAAGGACTAAGTGTATATGACACTATTCTAATATAAATGAAAAATTTCCATAAACTTTCCTGTGATAGGAACATGTGGAGGCATGATGGGAGTTGCCCTGTGTGTTCCTAATAGCTAATAGTTCATTAGCTTTGTCCTAATCTAGGATAGCGTATACCCAACGTATAATCCATCAGCAGTGGGAAGTCCCAATTTTCCTTATGTACTAAACTGGTGTCAGATTCAAAGATGTGGGTTTGGCCATGATGTATTTTTTTTTCCTTCTTAGATGATGTGCCATTTCTATCAAGATGGAATTCCCCAAGTATTTCAAAGCATATAATAAATGCATAAACTAATTTTTACCTGTTTTTATAAAAGGTATTAATAATTAACCTCTTTATTACCCAAATATTTTTTTGGATTTACGCTTCTCCCTAAATAGAAATAATCAGTAAGACCTGCAGAGATTTGGGGCTCTGTATGACCTGTTAACTATGCTTGGAGACATCTCACTGTTTTTATAGGGTGTGTCTTCATAGTGCAGTTTTTATTTCACTCCCAGTCCAGGGTGGAGGGAGCTTAAATTTGTCCTTAGCCATTCCAGTTTTAAAACAGTATTCTCCATCTTCTCCCACAAGTCTTAGAGTATGAATGAGATTAGGACATCTTATTCATGATCTTGCTGCTGCTGCTGTCAAGAGCTTGCATCTAGTGAGCTTCTGTTGGCTTGTTGAGGATGCCATTTGGTCAATATTCACTGCCCTCCTTGGCTGCTTTGGCTTGGGTTACATAAGAAATCGGACATCTGATTTCTGCAATATCTGACTCGGGCTTTACAAAATATCGTTCAGACATTATACAGATCTTTCTATACATTGGTATATGATCTTCTGGAAGACTGTAAGCCTATTATTAAATAAGTTTTCGTGGATATTGAAAATCTTTAAAATGGGCTACTGGTCAAAGTAAACTAAGAAATGATAATTTTAACAAAAGTCTAGTGATTTAATAAAATCAGCAAAAGCAACCTTGGCCATATGTAAGAAATTGGTTCAAATTGTAATGTTCTTTTCATTTTAATCATTCCACAATTTTGCTGGCCAGAAGAACGATGATGAATGTGCCATTTGTAGGGATGGTGGAGAGCTGATCTGTTGTGATGGGTGCCCTAAGGCCTTTCATCTTGGTTGCCTTATACCACCACTGACAGAAATTCCAAGGTAAAAACAACTTTTATCCATCTAAAATTGAATATAGCCGTGGGTTCAGATTTACAGCGATATGCTTTCTTGTATGATTATGGTTCTTTGTGGCCTTTAAAATTAGTTCCTTAACTTAGTTTTGTAATCTTATGTACCATGTTCTCACTGAGTTTTGTAATTAATTTTAGGGTGCAGGCTATAGAAGGGCTTTTGTTTTTATTATTTAAACAAATAAAAGATGACAAACATCTAGGTTATAATTTAAAAAGTACAGTAATCAACACCTTCTCAAAGTAAAAAAAAGAAGAATAATTGTGAAAAAGATAGATAGATGTACATTATTAGATATAGCTATGTACATTGTTTATATCTAAGGTATCTTCAAGTCAGGCACAACTTCTGAGATCTGTAAAAATATTCTCCATCTCAATCTGTCCTCACTGGTAATTTGAGAAAAATTAGCACTTCTTACAGGAATATCCCACTGATAGCCTTGATCGCATCTAACCACCTTATCCATTGTCTTACTTTCTATCACTTTGCTTAACCTTGACAGACATATCTAATCCATATCTATCGGTATCACAAGCCCAAGTATCTGAGTGTCTGTTTACATAACTCCAGTGCAATAGCCGCTCTTTATTTTTCCAGGAACAATTAATTTACTGTGGGTTGTTTCTTGCAGACCACATTTCAAATTCATAATTTGAAGATATCTGTTTTATTGCAGTTATTTATTTTCAGTTTTTCAGTTATATATTGCCATTGGGAAAGGCATTGCTTTAGCTAGTCTGGTCTATTGTGCAGATTTGCAGGCATACATAGTGTGTTTTAATTGGAGGAATGTTAAAATATGGATGAGGTATACTTATGGACTGGTTGTGTGACATATTTAATGTTTGTTTAAATATTGCCTTATTGTATCTGACATAGGAAGATATCTCAATCAAGAATATCAACAAAGAGAAGAAAATAACAAGAAAAAGAAAATAAGATATCCCAAAGGTGCTTTATCCAAAAGGCAATTGACTTTCTTGTTTGTTTTTTCTTTGAAAACATTTCATTTCTCATCCAAGAAGCTTCTTAGATGAGAAGTGAAATGTTTTCAGAGAAAAAAAACAAGAAAGTCCATTTGCCTTTTGGAAAAAGAATCTTTGGGACAACCATAACCTGGATGACTGAGAATCTCCATAGATAATAAAATGAAATATTTTTTAAAAAATCAGAAATATTGCAAGAAAATGTATAATTAAGGTAGGACTGCTGAACAACAATAATAATAAGAGAGACCTAATAGAAGCAAAGAAACATTATAAAGAGATTGAACACTTTACAAACAAGATTTGTAAAGAGATTGAACTCTTTACAAACAGGATTACTGAATGACAGAACCATTTGTAAACCAAGAATAAGGAACAAATATTTTTTGACATGAAGAATGATAGGCTATTGATCAGCTGCCAAGTGGTAAAGCATCAGGTATAGAGATAATGCCATTGAACTGTTTAAATTTTTAGAAGAAGTAGTGGTTAATGTCCTAGTAATTTATTTATTTGCTGAAACCTGCCATCTGGATATGCTTCTTCCATTACTGCATTGGGTCTGCCTCAGTTATACTCTGGAAACATCAATATTCACTCATTATCTTCATGATGCTACCCTTGCCTTATCTCCAGGCCATGAATGAAACAGCTTGAGATCATAATAAGCATAACAGTTTTAAAGTAATATTTTTCTGCTTAAGTCAGTGCTATTATATCATGGCTTCATGAAGTATAAAATCTGTACATTTAGTCATGCTTGTGTTGGAGATTAGATCAGCTGACCTGCTGTATATGAGATCAGAGGTGTGTTTAGGAAATGTTGGGAAATCTGGCCACAATCTCTCAGCCTCTGCTGCTGCCATTTTCTTCCAGGATTTGCCATTTTCATTAGCATCTTGATTTCTTTCACATTCATTATCCCCTTTCTTCCTGCTTCTCCCTGTTTCTGACACAAACTTTTCTTTGGGCATCTACCACGGGAAGAAAAAAGGAAAACACTGTTGCACTATTTTATGTGTAAAAAGTAGAAGCATTTTTATGCAATTATGCTGAAACAAAATATTCTAAAATATATTTCTGGCTTTATATACTAATTTTGTGTCTATAGTTGCCCATCTCAGCATATGACTCTTTTGCCCTACCCTCACTTATTTCACTCCAGAAAATAATGAAAACAACTAAATCGAGCTTTTTCTGTCATTTTCCTTATATTTACAATCATTCCACTTCTCTCCGCCCCCTGTAAAAGAGTAAGACAGGACAGCAATTTTATGCATTGTTTTGTGTCATTTTAAGCATAAGAGAGCAGCACTAACTCAACGTGTGTAGTAGGAAGATTTAGATGGACAGAATCTGAAGACAGCATGAACAGCAGGCATTGTGTATAGAGATCAGCAGCAGCAACAGATATTGATAGATATTATTCCATGTGCATTGTGAGACCCTAAGTTAAATATAATGGAGAATGCTGTCCTTATACCAGTGCTGAATGTAATTCAACTGAGAACTACCTCAAAAAATGTGGATAAAGGGCAGGGATGTGATCCCACCAGTATAACTATCGGTTCTGTGGTTCTGCATCGCGCGCGCATGCGTGAGTCGCACAAGTGCAATTTACGGCCTGCTGAGCTGCCCGGACAGCTGAGCAGCGCTGTGTACGGTGCACAGCAGTTGGAAAAGCCCTTTCCCCCTGCTTTTTCAACCGCAGCTGTGCCATGCAAAGCAGCTGCGGTTGAAAAAGCAGGAAACAAAGGACCGGTAAGAGCCCGGACGGGCGGGTGGGCCAAAACAGCAGCAGACACAGAACCGGTTCAATGTATGCTCTCTGTTTGCTGCTCTTCAGAGCAACCGGTTCTACAGAGGTGGACAGAACTGGTAGAATCCCACCCCTGATTAAGGGAAAAAGCAAAATATTTTCAGCCAGTAACTACTCTGCATGAAAGAAACAGATTATATATAAGATTTAAGAAGCTTTTTAATTTATTTTTCCTTCTTTTTTCCTTTGTATATTTGATTATCTACCTGTCTTTCTGCCTTGGAACACTCATCAGTGGGACATGGAGGTGTGATTCCTGCTCATCTGGGAAGGCCAAAGAGGACAGGGGCACTGAAGAGGAGAAGAATAGAGAGTCTTTTACTCAAAGTCAGGTATAACTGTAATTTTTTACTTTCCAGGTCAGATGGTCATTCTGTCCAGAGATGATAGGAGCTATCATGCCAGATATCAGAAGCATATTAGTTTGGAGAAGGCTGCCATATCTAAGTAATTCTAAAATCTGCTGTTTTTTCCAGTGGTTGTCTGTTCATTTGCTCCTGTATCACAGTTCTAGTTTTCATTCTGTAAAATGAAAACAGAGACTGAATTTTGTTAAAGCTATGCATAGATATTTGGTGTATAATGTAATTAAAGAACTTCTGTCTCTTTAAGAACATTTTGAGACCAGCATATGACAGATCTGAAATAATTTGCACAGTTTGTATTCCATTCTATGTGCAAATGTTTTCCTGCTGAATAAGGACTGGAATGTTATTTAATTTTCCTATCTCCTAAGGGTGCTGTTTATGTCCAGAGAACAACTGAAGATGGGAGGAGAGTTCTTATCAAAGAACCTCTGTGTGCCTCCTTCAGGCAACCCCTGCCATCTTTGCTCTCAATGTCTGTGGCAGCTCCATCCACAGTACAGAATGCTGGAACAGAGAAACAACTGGTCAGTAGATTGTCTTTCTGTGGATTTTTCACATTTCAGTGGGTGAGGCCATTTCAAATCATGTATGTATGTATGTATGTATGTATGTATGTATGTATGTATGTAAGTAAGTAAGTAAGTAAGTAAGTAAGTAAGTAAGTAAGTAAGTAAGTAAG